ACGAGAAAGTAGTCATTATGTAAAAGTTTAATGAATCAATTTATTTAAATAATTATATTGTTAGAAGCTTGATAAAATTGATCAAAAATGAATTATAAATTATAACGACTATATTATCATAATCTGTGAACTGTGATAAAAATAGCAGCCTACGAAAAAATAAAACATAAATCAATCAAATGCAGAAATGTGAGTTTTTAATTTGAAATCACAAAATAATAAAAGCAGGAAGCTTATTGATGGGAAAACTTTTTGATTACACTTTATTTAAAGCGTTTGAAATGGTGGATGTGCCGGAATTGATAAAACCAGTGGCAATTACTATCTAGATACACAATATTTTTACAAACAAAAAGTATATTCATTGGTCTAATAATTGTTGTACTTGTTTTGATGCTAGCTAACATTCCTTTGAAATTAAATTTTATTTTTAAAAGTTTTATTGACGTTTTTATGGTTTGTAGGTACAGTTAAACAATCTTCCGGGAAGTTACTTCCATTTTGCTTTCAACATATTTTATCCATTATTTCATCCTACATTATGTCTTGCTAATTTACATTTAAGGTTGGATATGACTTTCCTAAGAGACTTATACCAAAACTTTATAATAATAAAACAACTTACCAAAGTGACAGTTGTTGGGTTGTTGTGAAGTGAAAAATGTTAATAAGCAAATCTGCGAGTTTACTAAAAGTTTTGCAATCAGCTTCGGTTCACCTTCCATTCTAGCCTTAATTAGTTGAAGGGTTTGACTATATTGAAGCTCGTTAAGGTTAAAGTTACTAATTATTATTATAAATAAAATGTTCAGAACATGCTATGGGTATGCGTGGAAGCTATTTTAAGAAATAAGCTTAAACAAGCTGACTATTGTAATAAAATTGAATTACACATAATAATATTCGGGAGTTCAGGCACCAGCTGCAGGACACCGAAAAGCTAATGCAATATAACTTCTTCATAACGGAACTGAGTTTGTACAGTAAAATCAACAAAACATTGGTGATGAATAATTGTTGTTAATTAAAATGGGTCTAAATATTCCCATTTTTTATTTTTACTCAAATGAGTGTGTTCTACTTTAGCATTTTTGGGCCAAAACCGGTACTAAAAAGTTTCAAAACCAAAATGTAGTAGTTTGAATTTATTTAGATATGAGTGGTTTAATAAGTCTGCACTTTTATAATAGGTAAAAAAATAAAAAATTAAACCATTAAATAATTATGAAATATTTTTAATACTTCGATTTCTTCTTCTCTTTAGTAATCCTAAAAATTTTGATTTATTGTAATAAGGACATTAATTGTAATTTATTTGATCCATTTTTGCTTTTGGCATTTGATGATTAGTTCTACTTTTAAAATTAATTAACAACGTCCTTAACTAAGATTCTTCATTTTATACTTTATTTTATTAAAAAAAAATCTTATTTTTAAGATTGTCAAATAATTTGAATGAACTTAAGAACGAGTAGTTACAATGCCCTAATTCAGAGTCGTAATGAAACTTTTCTAGAGCAGAAAACTGGAACTTGAATTGAAAGCGAACCGGACAGCTGACATTTTTTCCATAAAGTTCGATATTTCCTTTTATAATTATGTAATCTTTAGACGCATTTCGAGTAATTAAGTTAATTAATGTTCGCTTAATTACGCGAAAGAGATCATTTATCTTAAGTTGGTAATACGAGCCGCCCCTCCATTGCTGATCCCCTACGTCGCAGCTGTCGTATGAGACCGTTCATTAATATCAGCAGAATGCGAAATGCATATCTATTTAACCCCAACAAAACTCGGATAATTAAATTTTCAGCTTTCTCGTATATTTTGATCCAGTACAAATAATAAGTTGAAATATTTTGTACGCTATTTCTTTGGGAAATTCACTTTATTACATTTAAAATGGTATTTGTGTTTCTTAGGCTCAGTCATAATTACTCTAATCATTAAATATTGTAGGATTTTCTAAAATTTATGGCATAATTGAGTTGAACATTCCAAGAATACTTTATTGACAGAAAAGCGAAGAATAGAATGAAAGTACTTTAAAACTCATTCTTTATTTTTTTTTTAAATTAAGTGGAAGCATTGTAATTACAAATAGGACACAATTTGTAATGTATGCTAAGAATGTTAAAAGTTATTGGATTTTTTCCGCCTATAATGCATATGTATACATCTGCAAGGAAGAAGTATAAAATTAAAGATTGCTTGCTTAAACTACCAGTACATGTTTTCATGCATTAAAAATTTATGGAAAAACTATTAATAATTATTAGTTCAGACAAAAAAGAAAAAAAACGGCTTGTTTTTTGAAGTAATACTTTTTTATTCAGGGTGAATATAAAGTATGGAAATAAGCGGTTTTATTTTTAATCATTTGCTTCCAGAAAATAATAATTAATATAAATTAGAGCAATATAAAAAATGTGATCGTATTTTTAGAACGAAATTTTGTTTTGTTTTTGAGTTATGCGATTTTTTTTATCAAAATTGCAATTTATGTGAAAAAAAATAAAAAAAGATTAAATATAAAGCAGATAGTTGTAATCCTTAAAGTATAGCTTTTACGAGAAAAATTATTTTATAGAGGGTTGCCATTTAAACAAATAATTTTTCTTGTAGAACTCAAAAACAAAAGGAAATTTTGAGAAATTTTATTTTTGTTAAAACATTACATTTTAATAGTACTTTATCACTCATCAATTAGTTTTTTCAAAAAATAAATAGTTTAACCAAAAAACGTTTGGTTCTATACTTTTTATTCCCATGGTATCTTCTACTATAAATTTTAATAAATAAAATAAATTTTTCTTGAAATTGTTTATATTCAATTTTTATGTACCAAATAACCTGTGAACTTTGTAGGTATTGTTTTCTTATGCTATTTTCTTCCTAGAGACTAACCGCTACTGAGTTCTACACCCTGTTGTAAACAAATTGTTTTATTTTTATTAACAAATTACAAAATTTTAACAATGCAGAAAAAATGATTAAAATCATTAACATTGACTTACATAATGCGATAAGCAAGAAAAGTAGCATAACTATAACATAGAAATAGAAAAATTTTGAACATATATTTAAATGACCTTTTTTTATTAATGGTATTTTATGTTTTATAAAACACAAAAGACTATTGCCTGTCAAGAATAGATAGATGCTTATTTCTTATAAAAATCAGTCTCTTGTATAAAAAATTAATATGTTTTGTCAACAATTTTTTACAAAAGTTTAGCCTACATTAGGTTGTGCATTTTGATGAATAAAAAATATTAAAGCTTCAGCAACTCTCGAAAATCACCAGAAAGCTTAAATAGACAGGTGATTAAACTCAAGAATTTCAAAGAAATAACCTTGTCTCAGATTTGTGTAAGTAACAGTTCTAACTCACTTCATTAATAATTGTGTTGTTTTGTTTTGAATTCTGTATATAACAATCTTGTATTTAGTATTAGTTTGTGATTTCTCGACTGCTTGTGAATGACAAGAACGTTTCTGTGCATAGCTATGTGCTGATATATCAGTTTTATTGCAAAAGAAATTGTTACCTTTGAACATGAACAAGTATCTCGTTTCAATAAAATCGGTTTAAAATATTTGTTTTTATTTAAAAATAAACACATGCATCTCAAAGCTTTTTCAGGGCAACACACTTTTTAAAATCCATACATAAAAATGCCATTATTTTATTATAATTCAATAAAATTCACACTTACTCACCTCATTGTAGGATCATTCTTTGTATAACAAGGCACTAAAGTTAAATTTTTTAACACAAATATGAAGTTTATTAATAACCACATGACCACGAATAAGCGTAGGGTTCCCAAAACATCACTCTTATTTTTAACACGACACATGTTTCGTCCACAAGGTGGTTATTCTCGGGGGAGAATAAAACTTAGTCTAGCAGTTTTATTCTCACCCGAGGATAACCACCTTGTGGTCTTAATACGTGTCATATTAAAAATAAAAGTTTGATGTTTTGGGAAGATAACGAGTTTGATTCATTCAACAGTAAGAAGATTTTACATGGGTGTAAAAAGTAACTTTAGGGTTGTATTGTACATTGCGTTTTTTTTTAAATCTCAATTTTCATAAAAAGAAATTTTAACAATTTATATTGCTTATTTGTGAAGCAAACTGTATACTCAAAATTAATTTCATGTGATACATATAGTGGTTTTACCTATAACTAAACAAATTCTTAAACATTCTAAGGTTAATAAAAGTCTTTATCAATTTGCTGAGACACCTTGCGTGGGGACCACAATATTGAATTATTTACTTTCACACAACACATTTTTTTCCCTTTGCCTGTTCATTTAATTGCAAAATTTCAAATGCTGTAAAAAAGGATTAAATGTGTCGTTTTTGAAAGGAATGACCAAAATTTTATCATGTTTTAAATGTTGTAAATCTATAATTTAAACTAAAACAGTTGCCAAAAGATCAAAGGTCTAATTGAAAAATATAAAAAACTGTGAAAGCTTATGATTAATGTTTCATTTATTTTGGCAATATTGTATATACAAATAATCTAAAGGTGTCATTACTGTGTCATTATTTTTTTTGGTATTTATTGTTTAAATTTGTTAATAAAGCAAACCTTTAAATGGCAGGCCGCGTTTGGAAAGCACTAGATTATAATGTTTATTGCTTTAATTAAATGTCGTTCATTAATTTATAAGTATCATACAGTGAGCTGCTTTTACAATTTTCAATAGTTTGTTAAAAGTAGCACGACGACAAAGTGTTAAAAGTCAGATGAAATATTAACGTTGTTTATTAAATTTCAGATGGGTTGCGGTAGGAGCGGAACAGTCTCGGTATGGGTGACTTTACTCCTAACAGCGGCTCTTCATCCCATGGCCAGCACTTCACACATTAAGGTAAATTTATTAACACTGCTGTTTTAATATCACATTATAAACATAAAGTTTTGCAATGAGTTCAAACTTTGTAATTTAAAGTTTATTGCTTGGATACTTAATTGTCCAGAATTTTGTTTCTAAAGTAACGCCCCTTTGCGCGACTAATAAGGGTGTTATCTTCCGCGGAAGTACTGTAATACACTTGTGCTTACTTAAATAAACAAGTTCATATTTCAGCACTCAATTGTCAAAGAAATTATTACTTTTTCTTCACCACTAAGCTTCCATAATTTTTTATTTTAAAGTTTATGAATTTAATAAGACGCATAAATCATGCAACTTTTTATGTTAAGTATAAAGTTACGTTTCAGAGGACAATTTCTTTGTGAAACGGTTTCAGAGATAGTGGTTCTGGGTGAAAAAGGACGATCTGAACGACTTCAAAGTTTATTTTCTTTGCTGTTAGCTTCGCTTTACTGCTGTCTTCGAATATCAGGTTACAAGATAATCAAAGAAGAAATAAATAATTCTTTATGTACTGCGCAAGGATATTATGTAGAAATTGCGTAAACGGATGAAAACAACAGAATAAATTATGAGTAATTTACCAGATTTATTATCCATTTTAAGATTTATTAATTGTTAAGTACTTGTTTTAAGAATATTTTTGTAAGTTCTAGTTAGCAAAGTTGCCAAACTTTTTGATTATCTTTTTATATTTGGATTATACAGGCTAAAACAATTAAAAAAACAAAAATTAAAAAACCAAAGAAGATACTTAAAGTTTCTTCTTTACTAGACTTTTCATATAATTTATATATTTATATAGTCATCTATTTTTTTATTCTATACTTTATAATTTTTTTTATTGTGTGAGGTCGAAATATATAAATTAAGATTTAAAAAGAAAGTATTCTGTCAGTAGTATATTTAGTTTGCCAAGAAATTTATTTAAAATAATTTTATTTTGTATGCAATTATTAAAATTTGATAAAAAGTTAAGCTAGATACTGCTTTAAACACCGTGTATATTGTTGTCTACTAAAATATTTTCGTAATATAATAAACTATAAGTATTTACAAAGGACAGGTGTTTTATTTTTTTTTCTAGTGTATTTGAAGGTATGTCTATTTAATAGTAAATGTAGGTAAAGTGTAATTTGGTTATTCAGTTTAGTGGCTTGCGGCATCAACCAAATATGTAAACAAAGCTACAAATTGACAAACTGCTGAGTAAATAAAAACATTTTTAAAATTATAGAATTGCGTTCAAAATAGTTTTTTTTATGTTTTATATTTTTTGTAGTTTGTAACAAAAAAAAAGTTACTTTACTGGTTTAAAAAATGTAATTGGATATTCTCCACTGTGATTGTATGCACAATGAAACTACTGATCGAGTTTTATCCTTAACCTTTTTTTATTATGTTTTTTTATGTACGAGTATGTTTAGTAAAATTAGTATAGATAAGTTACTAAAAATAATACATTATTAACAAAATAAATTAACCCAAATAAAGCACAAATGATTCATAGAAATAAAAAAAAATCGTATATTGAAAAAAAAAACATTTAGTAAGGTTTTCAGCATTTCTGCAAAAATATTCTAGTACAGGTTAAGGCGTGATTATGTTTTAATTTTGTGGTTTTCAACACTATCTATAAGAATATTACGCTACTTCAATTTTTTTGAAAAAAATTTTGTTATTTGGTTTGTATACTCACTTGGCTTCGTTTAGTTTTAATTTTTTTGGCTCAAGATTAGTTTTATGTATAATTTGTAAAAAATAGGCTTTTTGTCATTTGTTGAGAACAACAACATTTTTTCTAAATAAATGTTTTCTGCATCGGTAAAATAAAAATGGTGGATGCGCCGGGTTTCGAGCAAATTTAATTTGTAATAAAGCTATAGGTTTTATCACGCCTTTTTAAAACATTAGGTGTTACTTAATTCAATAAAAATTAGATAAATATTTTAGATAAATACAAATACACAAATGATTAAAAAACGTATAAGTAACAAATTAATCTAAGTTACAATTAAGATTATTCAAATGTGTAAGGTTTAAAAACTTTTTTAGTTCTTATTTTTTTCTAAAATAAATTGTAAATTTTTGGGTAGTTTAAACTTAGTCAGGTTTTTTTAGTAAAAATTAATTTTTACTCTATTTTTGATTTAATAAATTTGCAGCTAACATTGTAAATGTAAAGTTAGTGCAAAGTTATACAATATTGTATGTGAAAGATTAATAAAACCTTCTAAAGTTGTGTTTGCACATTATAAGTTAAAAGTAGATAGAAGGAAATTGCAAATTACGGGAAATCTAATTTATATTCAAATTTTCGTGTTTTGTATTTTATTAAAAGTGTTTTCGAGCATAGGATTATTATTTGACCTTACAATAAATTTACCAAAAAATATAATTACCTACATTATAGTTTAATAACGTTATGCTTTATGACAAAAAATATTTCTTGCATTCCTACAGATAATTGTGGAGATGGGAAACGTTTTATAATATCTACTTTTCAACACAAAAACACAATATTTTTTTATTATGTGTTAGTTCAGAAACCGTTGCTTTCAAATATATTATTCTAGACATAAAGAAGTTGCTAATTTAGAGTGTTTGTTGTTAAATCCAAACAGCTAATGACAATTTGGCTTCGAAATTTATTTCGAAAAAATATTTTCCATCTGTGGCAATTATTTATGTCTCGTTGGATTTTCATGGGCTGGCATCGTCCCGAAAGCGTTTAATAACAGTTCTGGAATGAGTTCAGCCAGAGCGAAGAGATTAATGAATCATTTTATGTTGCTTAGCAAGTGCTACTCGATGGATTGATCGAAAAGAAAGATCAGTGCTTGAGGTTATAAATCGTGCCTTTTTTTGCTGTCAGTTGAACAAATTTATAAACTCGGGGATACGGAAATTTAAATATTATTAAACTTTCTCATTTAATATTTAATTGGAAAACTGTGTTGCAATGGAGGAAATTTAAGTTTTTTAACGGACTGTTTTGATCTGTCGACTTGATAACTCCGGTAATGTTATTTGAGGAGTTTTCTGTTAAAACGTTTCAAAGTTCGGTGAGGAGTTACGTACTTTTACAAATCGGAATAATTGAGGAAATTATATAGAAAGTTTCGGATTGCAAAGAGTAAATTTGAATTTCCTGCAGTCAGTTGCTGTATTAATGAATTTAGCTGGGTTTGATGCGAAAAGCTTGTTGGATTAACATACACATAATCGCCAAAGTAACATATGTTTTATTCTCAAATCTCCACAAATTTACACCGATATTCCAAAGGCCAGTTATTTTCCATCAAACAACTTTACATCTTTGTTTTACCTTTTCTTAAAATAACAAAATAATGAGAAAACTTTTGTGATAAAGAAACGAGAAAAGCACATAATTATAAGATACATAAACTTAAGAATTGCCTCTGCAACTTAAAAGCACGTAAGTCGTTCTGTTTTGTCATGTTTACCTCACAAGTTATTGCAGCCACTACGAGTATAAGTTAAGAAGTTTTTTATCTGAATAAATCAAAATTTGTTGTTTTATTTTCACTCAATGATGAGCACCTTGTGATCGAAAGATGTGTCGTGATAAAAATAGAAGTTTGGTGTTTTGAGGAAGAAAATAAATTTTAATCTATTTCTTCTTTTTTTACATATTTTTCTCGTTGTTAAACTTACATCATAATATGTAGTTTTTAAATTTCTAGGGCACTTACGTGTTTTGTAAAAAAAATATATTTCTAAAGCTTTGTAATGATTGAAATAAAAAATAACTTAAACCGTTTATAGTGTTAATTTCTACTAATTGGAAAAAGCAAGATGGAACGCTAACCTACTGTGATTTTTTTTCTAGATGAAATTTTTTTGTAGTAATTGGGATTGCAAAAATCTCATTATAAACGTAATATTTTTTTCGAAGTAAGTAAGTAAGTAGGTATAATGTCAAAGTTTGTTTGGAAATAAACAAATAAATATTTAAACAAGTTTGTTAATTGATGTTTACTAGTTAGCTTCAGAAATGTACATATTTACTTTACAGTCCAAGTATTTTTATAAAATTCAAGTAAATGCAAATTAAAAAAAGTAAAAACAAATACGATTACGAAATTCTTCAAAAAAAGTCCATCCATAGTTTTTTTTATTGGTAGAATAAATTCCTTTTTTTTTCAGTAATGCTTGATTGATTCTTTTCAGTTGTTAAAAAATACTGTTGTAACATTTATTATTAAAAATTAACTAACAGAAAAGTCATTAAGTAAAAGTGGTGTTAGAAATAGCATATTATTTGAATTTCTTCTGTACAGTTTCTCCTTTTTAATGAGCCAATATTCTATGTATCAAATTTAAAAAAAACTCAAATATTAATTTGCTATTGCATTAAAATTGCAGCTGGAACCTCGATTTTCAGATTTTTTTATTAGTTTTATGCAAGATTTACGGATAAACGCAGTAAAACACAAAAACAATTAAGTTTGTTGTTTATTATTGCCTATCTGGAATATTTATGACATGTCTACGAGTATATACATGGATATATTATCTGCATCTACGTTGGCGTAGTCGTTCTGCTTTGTGGCCTATGATAAATCGTATCATTCCAACAAACTTTGTAACTATCTTTTAAAAATAAAAAAATTACTAGAATTTATTCGATGTTGCAAGCAGTTAAAAATAAAAGATTTATGAAAGGAATACGCTAAAGAGCAAGATTAATATCGATTTTATATTGTCTCTAAAATAAAATATGCTTTAAAATTGCTAGAGAAATAGACAAATAAATTGTGAAAGATAATGAGTGAAAATTTATAAAATGTTAATATAGAAAGTTAGAACGAGTGGGTAAAAAGTTGTGTAAATGTATAAATTGGGTCAAAGCGAACAAAGAGTAAAATGTGTAGATCCTATGAAGTGATTCCGATCACTGAAAACCAACGAATTCAGCAAGCAAGAGATAAGAAATTTCAGCGAATGAAATGTATGAATTGTGACTGTTG